AGTTGGATACAGGTATCAATAGATTCAAATGCAGTTACTTATTAAGCACTTTTTCCTTTTGAAAAGGAAGAGGAATATCTGTAATTATGTATTGGAGTAACTATGTATTGGAAAAGGTTGGCTCGATTCAGCATAAATATTTATTGAGTACTTACTATCATGTGCCGTGTGCAATGATCTATAGTGAGGACGAAAAGATAAACTTTGTTTTCAGTTAACCAATTAAGCTTATTTGTGTCTTTATGTACTTAATTTCTCTAGCTTTATTTCTTTTATAGATTTTATTTTAAATTTTCAAGAAGAGTCCAGGTAATCTGTTTTCTGAAACTTTATTGCAGACTTCTATTTATTATTTTTTCTCACAGATTTATTATTGTATAATTCACATACCACATAATTTACCCATTTAAAGTGCACAATTAATTGGTTTTTAGGATATTCACAGAGTTGTGCAGCCATTACTGAAGTCAATTTTAGAACATTTTCATCACCCACTGAAGAAATGTCATACCCATTAACAGTCGCTGCCCATTCTCTTTTTACCCCAGTTCTGGCAACCATGAATCTGCTTTCTGTCTCTATAGATTGCTGTGTTCTGGACATTTCATATAAATAGAATCATACACTATGTGGTATTTCATGATTAGCTTCTTTTACTTAGCATGTTTTCAAGGCTCATCCATGTTTTAGCATGAATCAGTGCTTATTTTTTATGGCCAAATAAAATTCCATTGTATTAATATACCACATTTTATTCATCCATTCATCAGTTGATATTCATTTGGGTTGTTTCCTTTCATCTTTTTCTGTTATGAATAATGCTGCTGTGAACATTCATGTACATATTTTAGTGTGGATATATGTTATCATTTCTTTTGTTTATATACCTAGGAGTGGAATTACTGGGTCATATGGTAACTTTATGTTGAACACTTTGAGGAAGTGCCATACAGTTTTCCAAAGAGATTACACTATTTTACATTCCCATCAGCATTGCCTGAGGTTTACAGTTTCTCCATATCCTTGCTAACACTTGATATTATGTCTTTTTGGTTATTGTCATCCTAGTCGATATGAAGTAGTATCTCGTCGTGGTTTTGATTTGCAATATTCCCTAATGACTAATGACATTGAGTATGATTTCAAGTGTTAGATGGCCCTTTGTATCAACAACTTTGCAACTTTATGACCATTCTTTTTTTTTTTTTTTTTGGCTGCACTGCACAGCATGCGGGATCTTTGTTTCTCAACCAGGGATCGAACCTGTGCCCCCTGCACAGTCTTACCCACTGGACCGCCAGGGAAATCCCCTGACTATTCCTTTGTAGTCACCATCTCCTTCTGACCACAGCCTGGAAAGGATCTCTACTTTTAAGGATTCATGTCCTTAGATTTTGCTTACCTGGATAATCCAGGATAATCTCCCTCTTCCAAGTTACTTAACCTTCACTTCATTTGTAAAGTCTCTTTTGTCAAGTAAGGTAATATGTTCACAGACTCTGGGCATTAGGATGTGGCCATCTTTGGGGACCATTTTTCTGTCTTACCATACCATCTTAACAATATAAAATTATCTGATCCATGAACATGAGAGCTTTCTGTTTATTTAGGATGCCTTTAATTTCTTTCAATAATGTTTTTTATTTTTCTGGATACAAGCCTTACACTTGTTTTGTTAGATTTGTTCTTAACTATTTTATTCATTTTGAACAATCGCAAATGGAATTATATTCTTAATTTCATTTTTGGATTGTTCATTGATAATATATAGAATTGAAATTTATTTTTATATTGATCTTGTATCCTGCAAATTTGCAGAACTTGTTCATTGTTCTAATAGATTTTTTTTATTGGAGTATAGTTGCTTTACAATATTGTGTTAGTTTATACTGTACAGCAAAGTGAATCAGCTATACTTATACATACATCCCCTCTTTTTTGGATTTCTTTCCCATTCAGGTCACCATAGAGCATTGAGTAGAGTCCCCTGTGCTATACAGTAGGTTCTCATTTGTTATCTATCTTATCCATAGTATCAATAGTGTATATATGTCAATCCCAATCTCCCAATTCATCCCACCCCCCACTTTCCCCCTTGGTATCCATACGTTTGTTTTCTCTACGCCTGTGTCTCTATTTCTGCTTTGTAAATAATGTCGTCTATACCAATTTTTTCAGATTCCACATATATGCGTTAATATATGATATTTGTTTTTCTCCAGATTTTTTTATGGGTTCCTTAGAATTTTCCGTATTCATGATCATGTCATCTGTTTATAGAGATAATTTTACTTCTTACTTTGCAATCTGGTATCCTTTATTCGTCTTCTTGCCTAATTGTCCTGGCTAAAACTTCCAGTGTGTTGTTGAATTGAAGTGGTAAGAGCAGATATCCATGTTTTGTTTTTGATGGCAGTGGGAAAGTATTCAGTTTTTCACTGTTAAGCGTGACGTTAGCTGTAGTTTTTCATAAATGCCCTTTATCATGTTGAGGAAGTTCCCTTCTCTTTCTAGTTTGTTGAGTGTTTTCATCATGAAAAAGTGTTGGATTTTCTCAGATGCTTTTTCTGCTTCTATTGAGATGATCATGTATTTTTTAAATAACAGCATAATTGAGGTATAATTCATATATTTTAAAAGTCACGCTTTTAAACTGTACAATTCAGTGTTTCTTTTAAACATATTCAGAGAGTGTGCAACTATTACCACTATGTAACTCAAGAACATTCTCATCACTGCAAAAAGAAACCCTGTAACCATTAGCAGTCACCTCCCATTACCTTCTCTTTCCAGCTCCTGGTAACCACTAATATACCTTCTGTCTATGGATTTACCTCTTCTGGACATTTCATATAAATGGGATCATACAATATGTGGCCTTCTGTGTCTGGCTTCTTTCATTTAGCAAAATGTTTTCAAGATTCATTCATGTATCAGTACTTAATTTTTCTGATCCTCAGGAGGGCTCTTTTCAGCCTTCTCTTTCGCTGGTTATCTCTGCTAAACTGGCTGGCCTGCAGCCTAAATGTTGCTCTCATGAAGCTACTTACTTCCTCTTAATTGCTTACCACCAAAATCTCCATTTTTTTTCGAGAGAGTCCTTTGGCTTGAACTTCCTCATACTCTGTTTCAAATAAAGTCAGTTCTTCTGGACATAGCTTGGGAACTTTCTGTTCTTATGGGCTACCTTTATCCCTGGGCAAAATCTTTGAACCAGTGCTTTGGGTGCTGGGCAGTGACCGTTGCTTCTGATCTTCTTGCTTCTCTCTTCCGGCATGCAACCTCAGCCCTACAGGTAAGCTGGGGCAGGGCAGTCAGGGTGATTGATGGGGCTCCAGCATTGCAAGCCTACTGTGCCTGGGTGTAGACCCTCTGGCCTATGAGTGGGGGCTGGCTGGAGGAAAGGAGCCCCTCAGCTCTTGGCTGTACTCACCAGGAATTTCAATCCTTTAACTGTGTGTCAGGGGTGATGAGGAATGCTGGCTGCTTCCCCTCCTTATGAGATACTGTATTCCTTGGCTGGGAGCCGAGGGAAGAGGGAGTCCAGTCTTCTTGGCGACTCCTGCCTGGAGTGTAGCTTCTCTCAAGGGGAGCTGGGGGATGGAGGTAAGAGCGTGGGTTATGATTCATATGCTGTAGACTCTCACCTGTATTACTGAATTTTAGCAGATTTTCTTGAATAAATGTTTCTTTATTTGCTGTACCTTCAGGACAATTTCCAGAGATTTCAATTTTTTTAAAAAAATATTTTTTACCAGTTATGGTTACTTCACTGGGGAATGGGTCCCTAGGACTTCTTATGTCACAAATTTGGAAGTGGACCCCCCTGTTAGGTTGCTTATTTTTTAGTAGAGTTTCTTTCTTATGATGGTGCTAGAAGGCTGGCTATACTAAGCAGTACTGATGAACTATTTTTTAAATCGGGATTTTACTATGTCAGATTTATTAAATATCAGGGTACTTGATTTTCCTTGCTTTGTTGTTATTTCTCCATATAAGTGAAGTTTGTTATAATGGTGTTTTACTTATTAAAAATTATTTTTATTGACATATTTTTCTGCTTGTTACTTTAATTTAGGGTTGGTTCCAGCATCTACTGTTGCTGCCCCTACTAGTTCAAGCACCATGCTGTTTACCTCATTTTCAAATGTTTCTACCTCCACTGCTGCTACTGGGCTCTCATGTAAGTTACTGGTTGCAAAGAAAATACTATTATTTCGCATCAGGCCACTTAACTCAATTTTCCAGTATAAGCTATGGATCTCTGACGTCTCATAAATTATCATTATGCTTGATCCCATTTGTAACTGTTGATATCAATAGTAGCTTTGCTAAAAACCTGATTGTCATGGCTTTCACTATGAATTTTATATTAACATGATTATTACAGCTTAAAGTGATGATTTTAAGCATATAATTCATTAACAGTGTAATGTTTTGAAGCGAATGGGAAGAGTGGAAGTTTTGCCAAGTATGTCTGAAGGGAAGAAGTCTTATTGTCCATGTGAATAAGATAAAGTGGGAAATAAATGTTGAAGCCTTGCTGTATTTTATTCTTCTATATAGACCAGGTTTGCAGTCCTTATATTTTACTTATCAGAAGTGTTACATGACAAAAGGACCAGCTTTAATGACACTGTGTGATGGTTCCAGTTCTCTCCCCTTAAAGATGAACATCTGGATGCTTTGAGCTGAGAAGTGGGGCGTTAATTATCTTGTAACCCCAACTTCTTTGCTACACCTCTTCCATTAGTAGAGTAATAACAAATGGTGAGAATATTGACTTCTGTATATATCTTAGGCAATTCTTTCTTACAGGTCCATATAAGCTGCTTGTGCTTTTGCGGCATCTTCACAGTGCCATGATGTTCATCATTAGAGTTTGTTATTGTAATCCTAGCAGTAATATGGCCCTCCCAAAGCCCTGTTATAGCAAGCCTGTCACCATTTCTGGGAATAAAACTTGCCAGGAATTGCTGATGCCTAGTTGAGCATGAAAAATGGCGGCCGCCATCCCCATTGCCTTGTGCAGTTGGCGTAGGTGGAACATTAGTTGAAATTGCAGGTTGCTACTTGAATTGTATTTTCTTCCAAGTAGATACAGTTCCAATCCTGAGACATGACTGAGATTCTGGAAACCTTTTGATATATGTAAGCAATATCCTTCTCAAGTATAATAGATTTTGTGAATATGACCATGTCTGAGGTTGGGAGTTAAAATTATTGAATGAATTCCATTTCCAATCAAAGACTTGACTTCTGACCTTTTTAAAAAATTTATTTATTTATTTATTTATTTATTTTGGGCTGCACTTGGTCTTTGTTGCTGCGTGCAGGCTTTCTCTAGTTGCGGCGAGCGGGGGCTACTCTTTGTTGCAATGCGTGGGCTTCTCATTGCGGTGGTTTCTCTTGTTGGGGAGCATGGGCTCTAGGTGCGTGGGCTTCAGTAGTTGCAGCGTGTGGGCTCAGTAGTTGTGGCTCGCGGGCTCTAGAGCTCAGGCTCCGTAGTTGTGGCGCACGGGCCTAGTCGCTCCACGGCATGTGGGATCTTCCCGAACCAGGGCTTGAACCTGTGTCCCCTGCATTGGCAGGCGGATTCTTAACCACTGTGCCACCGGGTAAGTCCGACTTCTGACTTTTGACAGGTTTCTTTTTTCTTTCCTGTCTTTGATGTCCTTGCCTACAAAATGAAAAGAAACCTTGACCACAGTGTTTTTAAAATCAACTTTAATGGGATATAATCTACATGCCATAAGATTAACGTAAGTGTATAGTTCAGTGATTTTTAATCAATTTACCGAATTGTGTAACTCTCACCATAGTCCAGTTTTAGAACATTTCTATCATCCCAGTAAGATCTCTCAGCCCGAGACAACTACTAATCTGTTTTCTGTCTCTATCTATGCCTTTTCTGGACTTTTCATATAAATGGATTGACTGTAGTTTTTTGAGGCTTAGCCAAAGTTACTAAAGGACTCAGATGAAAAAGACCCTATATAAATTCTTCATTCACTGTTTTTGATTAAAAGGGTAATAGGTAATATTATGTTCTTCTCTGCAGTTGGTGCCCCTACAACTTTGGCTGGAATGCTTGGTGGTACAGCATTGGGATTTGGATTAAATTTCCCTGGAGCAGGTGGAGCAGCTGCTGTTGCATCTAGTAAGATTTTTAGTACTGGGATGTGTTTGAATGCTCACTGGAGATGTACTGCATAACAAAAGCAGTAAGTAGGTTGTATTCCTTAGCTTCTAGGACTAAGAAGGTTTTGATCATCTCACCAGCATATCCAAAAGGTCCATCAGTATTGACAATTGCCAAAGGGTAGAATAAGACAGTTGATGTCAATGAGATTACTTCTTTGAGATGACCATAATCAAAGCTGCTATCAAACTCTTGTCAACTCTGAAACTTAAAAATTCTTATTATTGATCATACTATTTAAAGTGACCCAGTACATTGGGATTCATAGAGTTTTATTCTCTAAAAGTTAATTTAAGGTTTGACCTGTATTAAAGTTGATCCTCTCCTTAAGCTGATTACAGGAGTTTCTGTGGACCTATCCTAAATTTGTTTCTGCCAGTTAGGCACTAGTTAGGTTGTAAATTAAAGAAAACTTGGTTATCCATTGCCTTTTAGCTGTTGTGAGCTGGGTGGTTAGAGGTCAGTTACTACTTAAACCTACCATTTAAGTCAGACTCCACTTTAGGGAAGTCTTGTTTGTTATGACTTTTAAAAGTTTACTTAGGGCTGAAATGAATCTTTATTCAAACCTGTCATAAACTAAAAGTCAGTCCCTGTTAAGTTTAAAATAATTATTCCTAAACAGAGATGTAAACCATCTTTTGCATGACCAACACTTAACTGAATTTCTACTGTGTACTCGGCTAACTGGCCAACCTATGAGCATTATGAAGGGCATGGCTTGAGAATTTTATAAGTAACCATATTTGCAAGAAATATAACACATAGTTTCCCTTATAAAATGCTGAACAAAAAATTGATTCTTTCAGTCATGGGCGGAGTCACTGAAATATGAATTTGCAGGCTTTTTGGTGACTCTGCCATAACTCACCCCCTACCTATCTGAGTCTTAAGATTCCTTCCTGCAAACTGGTACCTTTGCTACTAGCCCATTCCATCCACCACTGCCTTATGTACTTACCCACCTCCCCATCAGATATGTCTCAACTCAATACCCCCAACCCACTGTTGATTTTTTCCCCTACTCACCTTTCCTTCCCCCCAAGTATATTTACTTGCTCAGATTCTTCATCTCACAAATTAGCCCTGTAGGACAGCTTTCGGGTATCTGTATTTGTAAATTTATAGCCATTTGAGATTATTCTCTGCCCTAGGTATAATCAGCAAGTTTTAAGAGAAGCTTGCTTGTTATAAATCTCATCTTTTGCATTAGTCTATGAAAGTAATGATGTCCATTCCTAGCATGGAGTAAGATACATAGTTGTTGATCAGAGACAGGATACGAAAATTGGATAGTAGGATCTTTTAAAGGATGGTCTCACTATTTTACGTAATGATTTTTAAGATCATCAGAATGAGATTTATTTAAATGTAAATCCAAATTTGGTATGCAATTATTTTCTATTATCTGTAGAACAGCGCTTCCCTTTTAGTACACAGATAACATAGAGTTGACTGTATTTAGTTTAGACCAAAGTTGTAACTTGCAAAATCAGACTGTGATAGAACCTTCGTTCTCAAAACCATTGCTTCTTTTGGTATTAATTGAAATATTATTGTTATTTGACTATTGTCTACTATGCCAGAGCTAATTTATACCTTTTAAAAATACCATGAAAATAAGGAACAAAGATAAGTACTATATAAACAGTTTAAAATAATCATACCATTTTTTTATGACTCAAGATTCCTTTGTGTTTAGACTGACAGGTATTAATTTCCTGAAGGTATTGCACAGCATCTTTGGAGAGCTGTTCATTTGTCTGTTAACCTCTTTCTTTAGTGGTAGTGATGGTAGTTGCTTTTTTAAAAGTTATAAAAACCATACACACATGCATATATACATATATCACACCCTCTAGAGAAAACAGTTTGGTGCTTGTCTTAACAGGCTTTTTTCCAAATGCTTACAAACATACATTAAATTTATTTGTTTTACAAAAATGGGATACACGCAGACATAATCATAGAATTTGCTGTTTTCTCTTAAGTATACATTATCTTTGGACATCTGTCCATGTCAGGAAATTCTGACTTAAAAAAAAAAAATCTTCTTTGGGCGAAGATAAGCTCCTTTACAACAAGGACTTGTTTTTTTCTTAATTGTTTTTCTGGGTTTTTTTGCCTTGCATATAGTAGTTAGACAATGTTAGAATGAATTAATCAATAAAGGGGGGGTCTTGATAATGTCATTAATTTTCAGCATTTCTGGGGGGGGAACTCTTTTCAGATAAGACTTTTTATTCTCAGATGAAGAGCGTGGTGACCACATGGCTGTAAAGAATGGAACGTGGGATCCAATCTTAAACCTCTCCAGTGTCCTGAGTGATAGTGGCCCCGGGGATCCTTTGTGACTGGGCATGGTCTTCTCTTGCGGTGCTCATTCCACTTTCACAAAAGCTAACCAAAAGAATGGGGGAATTATTGTAAGGATCCTTGTGGCCAAAAGGGAAATGAAATCTTATGGAAATCTAATACAGGTATTATCATGACAATGAATATCAAGGGAAGTGGAATTTAGAAGTTGTTCTAAAGTCAGCTTTAGGGACCTCCTGGATATAATATTGCATAAACATAATTCAGCTATTTTCCTTTTGTCTGTTTTTTTTCTTTTTTTAACTTCCTTTTGGTTTCTTTACCTCTTTTTCTGCTTTATATTCTTAATTTTGACTTGGTCATGACTCTTTAATTCTACTTTATGTTTTTCCTCTGTCAGTCCTTTCAGCTCCCTTTGCCTGTTGTCTGATTCTTTCTACATGCTTGGAAATATTTCCAAATTTCTGCTTAGAGTCTGATTCTTTCCATATTTCTGGAAATATTTCCATATTTTTACCTACTGTCTGATTCTTTCCACAGTTCTAAATTTTCGAAAATGAGATTCTGACCTACCTTATCCCTGTTTGGCTAGAGCTTTTTGTGCCAGACCCTCTTATAGGCTGCCAGTGGCATATGGGATGGCTTCCTATACTTCAGATGCCCACCCTTGTCAACTGTGAACTAGGATCAAAGGACAGAGTTACTGAAATAAAGAATGGGTGTCTGAGCCTGATCCCTCAGCAGGACCAGAGTAGGCCAGTTTCCCTAAGAATAGGCAGTGCATGTTGGCAGTCACCATGATATATGTATTTATCTAGGGTGGCAGTTAACCTGAAAGTATTGCTAATTGGGAAAACAAGGCTAATGTAAAACAAACAAATAATTGTATACATGTTATAATATATTTTTATAACAAATTTCTTGTTACAGAAGCAGCATTTATTAATTATAAGAACATTTGAAAATACAGAGAACCAAAAAGAAGAAAACACTTCCAGTCTCCACCAGCCACAATTTTCTGTGCATTGTTTGTTAAGTGCTCACTGTGTAAGGAAGAACCAAAAGTGCTATAGAAGTTCAGAAAACCAAGAGATAACCATGAGTAGAAGAGAAGTGGACAGTAAACATGGTGAAGGAAGAATCTGAGCTCGGCCATGATGTGTACTGAGAATTTCATGTACAGAAGACAGGACATTTTAGTAAGGGTGTAATAGAAAAGACACATAGAAGAGAGGTCTGGGCTGTAGACAAAACTTTGAGAGGCTTTTAACTATAATACTGGCTAAGATGTATGCCTACTATGGGCTATGGTGTAGAGAAACAGGCAGTCTCCCCTATTGATAGGACTGTAAATTGTCAAAGTCTTTTTGGTAGGGGAATTGGAAAGTAATATTACAATTTAGAGCATGCTGACCCTTTGATCTAGCAATTTCATTTCTAGAAATTAATTACACAGATATATTCACATAAGTATGCAAAGTTATAGATGTACAGAGATTTTGTGTAAGATTGCAATTATTCTTTCTTTGCAAGTTTAGCAGAACTCACCGGTGAGGTCATCTGGGTCTGGAGTTTTCTTTATGGGAAGAGTTTTGAGGATTGATTCAATTTCTTTAATGGTTATAGGTCTGGTTAGGTTATAAAATGTATTTTTCTATACATTTATCCAGGATTTTAAGTTGTTAGCAGGAAGCTTAATCCAAATACCTGGCCTGCCATCTATTATAGCAACATTGAGTTAAAATCATACAACTTGGAGTTCAAATTCACAATAAAAAAAATACTTCTACAGTTTTTCGTCCTGAATAATCAAGGACTGAATTTAAAATTTTCTTACTTATTACTAACATTATACACTTTATTTTCCAGCTACAACGTCAACCATCACCACTACCACGGTCACCACCACCAGCACCAGCACCAGCACCACCAGTAGCTTTACCATGAATCTAAAACCACTGACATCAACTGGCATGAATAACACTGTTCCATTTGGCATGATTTCTAAACCTTTTACTTTGACCATTAGGTAAGCCTATTTGAAAATTCGTGTGAGTCTCATTTTCTTTGTCATATAGAAGGCATAGTTTGCTTCTACATCTTTAGAATAGTGTTTGAAAGTTAGGTAAATGACTCAGAGTCGAGGAGCAGTTAGGGAAAGGATTTCTGTTGCTTAGGAAGTTGAACAACGAAAAGGATATCATTGTCTTCTGAATACCATTATAATACAATTATTACTATTGCTAATAATAGATAACATTTATTGTGCAATTACTATATGTTTAGAAATATGACAGTGCTTTACAGCATCATACCATTTAATCCTCACAATAACCTTATGAGGTAGGTACTATTTTTGTTCTCATTTTATAGGTGAGTAAACTGGAGCACATAAAGATTTTATAATTCACCTCTGGTCACACACTTGGTAATGGTTGAGCCAGGATTAAAATTCAGGTTGTCAAGCTCTAGAACCTGTATTCTTACAATTTATGCCATGTTCATCTCTAAGTAGTTGGGGTTTTTTTTTTACAACTTTATTGGAGTATAATTGCTTTGCTGTGTTGTGTTAGTTTCTGCTGTACAACAAAGTGAATCAGCTATATATATACATATATCCCCATATCCCCTCCCTCTTGAGCCTCCCTCCGAGCCTCCCTATCCCACCACTCTAGGTGGTCACAAAGCACTGAGGTGATCTCCCTGTGCTATGCAGCTGCTTCCCACTAGCTATTTATTTTACATTTGGTAGTATATATACGTCCATGCCAGCCTCTCACTTTGTCCCAGCTTACCCTTCCCCCACTGTGTCCTCAAGTCCGTTCTGTACATCTGCGTCTAATTAAACTTTTTATTTTGAGTTAACTGTAGATTCACATTTACTTCTAAGAAATAATACAAAAAATTCTGTGTATACTTAACCTAGTTTTCCCCAATAATAATATCTTGCGATACTATAGTACAATATCACATTCAGGGTACTGACATTGATACAGTCAAGATATAGAACAGTTCCATCACAACAAGGATCCCTCCTGTTGCCCTTTTATATCCACACTCGCTACCCTCTTCTCTTTTGCCTGAACCTGGGCAACAATTGCTCTGTTCTCCATTTCTATAACCTTGACATTTAAAGAAATGTCATACAAATGGAATCATACAGCGTGTGACCTTTGGGGACTGTTTTTCCCACTAAGCATACTTCCTTGAGATAAAGTTGTCATGTGCATCAATAGTTTGTTCTTTTTTATTTCTGAGTAATATTCCATGGTATTATAGATGGGCCATCATTTGTTTAACCATTCACCCATTGATGGACATCTAGGTTGTTTCCAGTTGGGGACTATTATGAATAAAGCTGCTATGAACATTTATGTACAGGTTTTTGGTGAACCTAAGTCTCATTTCTCTGGGGTAAATGCCCAGGTGTACAGTTGCTGGGTGATATGGTAGTTGCAAGTTTATTTTTTTAGGAAACTGCTGTAAATCTTCTCCAGAGTGGCTGTACCATTTTACCTGACCAGCAGCAATGTATGAGAGATCCACCTTGTCCACATTGTTGCCAGGATTTGGTGTTGTCACTATTTTTTACTTTAGCCCTTCTAATAGATATGAAGTGGTATCTGACTGTGGTTTTAATTTGCATTCCCCTGATGACTCATGATGTTGAACATCTTTTCATGTGTTAATCTACCATCTGCATGTTTTCATTTGTGAAGTGTCTTTTCATATCTTTTGTCCGTTTTCTACTTGAATTTGTTTTTTGAGAGTTTTATGTATTCTAGATACCTGCCCTTTGTCAGATATGTGGTTTACAAACATTTTTTCTAACTCTGTAATTTGTCTTTTCATCTTTTAAAGAGTATTTCACCAAACAAAACTTTTAATTGATGAGGTCTGATTTATCAATTTTTTCTTTAATGAATTGTGCTTTTAGTGTCAAGCTTAAGAACTCTTTGCCTAACCCTAGGTCCCAAAGATTTTCTCCTAATTTTTTTCTAAAAGTTTTACATTTTATATTTCAGGTTGTGATCTCTTCTGAGTTAATTTTTGTATGAGGTGTGTGTTTTAGATTGAGATTCTTTTTTTTGGGCGGGGGGGTCTATGGATGTCCAGTTTTTTCAGCATCATTTGTTGAAAGGTTATTTTCTTCCATCGAATGGCTCTTTCACCTTTGTCAAAAATCAATTGGACGTATTTGTGTCAAATGCGTTTTCTGCCTCAGTTGATAGGATCTTTTAAGATTTTTGTTCTTTAGCTTCCTGATATGGTGAAATATAGTCAATGATTTTCAAATGTTGAACCATCCTTGCATATGTGGAATAAATCCCACTTGGTCATGATGTATAATTTTTTAATACTTTTTTTTTTTTTTTTTTTTACATCTTTATTGGGGTATAATTGCTTTACAATGGTGTGTTAGTTTCTGCTTTATAACAGAGTGAGTCAGTTATACATATATATATGTTCCCATATCTCTTCCCTCTTTGTCTCCCTCCCTCCCACCCTCCCTATCCCTGTTGTTGTCTATGCTTAAGACATTCTGTGGGAATCAATTGGCTCTATAGAATTTACAATAAAAGTATTATTTGTGTATATTTTTTTGTTTGTAAATTGCTCAGCTACACATACTTTATATCAGTAAAATTTATAATAAATTATGTACATACAACACACACATACATTCAGTTGTTTTGGGAAATCTGTTCTTAAACATACTTGCACATCACTGTTTATAGGCCTGTTGTAAAAGATAAAGCATGTACAAAGGAAAATTACTGCTGCTGTCAGGTTGTCACTATTAGAAATGGTAGTGTCAAGTTCGGCTCGGTCTCTGGTTTTACTTTTTTACTATCATAAGTGGGGTTGTGTGATTTTTTATAATCCAGGAAAGGTTTTGGCAGCCTGCAAAACACTTTTTCTTCTCTTCTTTTCATGTAGTCCTTTCCACATCTTTATTCTTCTTTTACTTTGAAGATTTTTTTCATTTTTCTATCCACTAGTGGGATGTACTTTGCAAATTTATGTGTTACAGTTCCAACTCATTTAGTGATTAATTGAGCACTGGGGAAAGCAAATTCAGTTCCAAGAGACAGAATCTGATTGGTCCAGTGGGAAGTGATCCAGTTTGAAACAGATACTGATGCTGTTCCGAATATCTATGGTGAAAGAGAATCAAAGTGTTCAAACGCGATTGGTGGCTCCACTCCAGTCCACATTGGTTTATCTCTTAGACACACTTTACCCTTCTTTTGTCAGACAAAATGTTTGACATTAGCCTGTAAATAGGTTTTCAAGTGATACTGATGAATTATAAAGTTACTATAAGCTAGGGAAATTAGAATACCTGTTATCCTGTTAATGAGGCATGTGACAGGCATGGACATAACAGCCTATTCTCTGGCTCTGCAGTTCCTGAGGTCCTGTGGTTCAGAATTGTATTCACCCAATAGTGCTTTCTGGGTTTGTCTTAACCCCAGAGTTTCAGAGAAATTTGTCCTAGGGGCATGTTTGGACAGTGCTTTTGAAGTCTCAATGGCGGAGTTGCCCAGGTATGTCTTAGCAGAGAAAAGCTTTACTCATGTTGTTGTTCTATCAATAGTTTGGTATGCCCTGCATTTTTTTTTTTAGCATTTGGGGTGTTTAAAACAGCCTTGTAATGTGGAGAATGTGAGTCTAGAAGCAATTCACAAAGCAGGGCCCCATAGGAGAGGATGCTAAAGCTGTGCTCTTTTAGGTATGCTGTTTGTGGCATAATAGTCAGAAGCCTGAATTCCCTATTTGATTTTACTCAAGGCAGAGAAGAAAAACAATCCATCTCAAAGGGGTTTTATTCGTTTGTTAGCCTGTTAGCTTGCTTATTTGAGCCAGTTTGCTTAGCCTTGAGGAGCATGGGTGTGGAAGTAGACCAGTTCTAACACTTGCTAGCTATGAAAACTTGGAAAGTTACTTAATCTCTCTGTTCCTCAATTTCTTCATTTGTAGAGTGGGTATAACAGTAGCCCCTACCTCTTATTTTGTTTTGAGGGTTACATAAGCTAATACATTTACATGAGTTAAAACACTGCTTGTCACATTAATTAAGCAATCAGTAATTACAAATAGATATAAGCACAAAATAAAAATCACCCACTATTTCATCAAACTATATGCATTCAGTTCATTTCTTTCTCTTGGGAGGCAGAGATATTGAATAATATCCTGCGAACGGAGAAAGAACTTTGAGACTGAAAAATGAAGCGGACAACTCCATAAAGTGCAATTATAAAGTTTACTGTGGGTAACTTACATACAGGTAGGAAAGATCAGGCAAACAGAAGATCCAGAGGCATTCACAGCTGTGCTTTGTACTGCCAAAAGGGGTATGGGGGACTTAAAGGTACCAAAGTTAAAAACGGAATCTGACTACCAAGTGAGAAGCACATCCACACAGACTGGAACCAGGGGCACCCACCCCACTTCTGGGTCTCATGACCATTAACCATCTACCTCAGCAAAAGGCCCTCTTCCAGCTTTCATTTTAGATGAAGGCAAGGGTAAAAGTTGATAGGGAACTCATCTGGCTTGGGCGCATTCCTTTGTGAGCTAGGCTAAAGCTCAGTCACCTGGAAAGGACTGCAGGCCTAAGATAGAGCTGACAAGATGAAGCCAGTATGGTTCAGCTCCACGCTCCACCCCTGACATCTATAAGGCCTGCATGATCTTATCCATCATTCTTCCGAGAATACCCTAGAGCTAGACATCAGGAGTTTACATGCTGTCCCCACCCATTGTCCCCGTGATGTAAGGTTGAAAGACAGAATACCCCTGGCATTACTTCAGAGCTAGACATTGGCAGCAATCTGCATACCCAGAAGTCAGAGTGGTTGTGGATGTCAACATAGGTGGTAGCCCAGGACAAGAATGCATTAGTGAAGGTAGGTAGCACTAATCTTAGAAGGAAAAGGCTAAGGACGATAAGTGTTTTAAAGGTACCAAGAAAGACAAATCTTCATTC